ATATATTATGCGTCTGTATATATATATTATGTGTCTGTTTATGTTTATAAACATGTAAAGTCCTTGAGGTTTATGTGATGATGTTCCATACTTTACCTTGCCTTGTACACCTTTGTTGTGGGATTGGTTTCAGAGACGTATGGAGTGATTGTACTGTCATAGAATGATTTAATTTATGTTCGTCTGTGTGTATACAGTCACAGCATTGGACACTCGTCTGTACTGAAGACTGTATATATATGTAACGAGTGTTTGTATGAGATACTACTTACAATGTATGTTCTATTTATAGTCACATGTGTGTCCCACCTTTTAAGGATAACCCTAAAACCCTGAAACCCTAGCCCTAGTCTTAACCCTATCCACCTTTTCTTCGACGATCTCAAGGATATGTGTAGTGGCTGTGTCTGCGGGTGCGAGTGTGTGCATGCCTTATGCATCTGTATATGAATATAGCACATATTAAACGCCGCCAAAACGGTTGTAACATTCATGTTATATACACCACCACAATCGCTGTAAAAGTGTGTGAATTGAGCTCTACTCTCTCAAGCTCTAAATGTTGTATCAAAAGAGGGTTGGCCATTCGTGCTATAGCAACTATTAGGCAATCCCATTCCAAAATGCTTACCGTAAACATTGCCAAATATGTTCAACTTTGCTTGTTGACTCCAATTATCTCTACCTCATCGCCAATTTTTTATCAACAAAACAAGTGTTTACATAGGCGTATTGCCTTCCTTCTTCTCGCCAATTGTCTTCCATATATCAACAACAAAAGTGTTTAAATAGGCGTATTGCCTTCCTTCTTCTCGCCAATTGTCTTCCATATATCAACAACAAAGGTGTTTAAATAGGCGTATTGCCTGCCTTCTTCGCCACCCCTGTGTGTAGCATCAGAGAGAGGGTTTGCAGTTTATGTGGAAACAACTCATGGGCCCTGCGGCCTGTTTTGACGATCCCAATTTCGAGGGCGATGGGGCTATTTTGGCTCATATGATGGGGCTGGGCAAGACTATCCAGGTATTTTTACTGTTACATTTTCTTTGGAATTGGAATCGGAATTGTAATTGGCATCGGCATTGGCATCGGCATTGGGATTGGAATTGGAATTGTAGTTGGAATTGGCATTAACCTTGTATATTGGCATTGAGATTATAATTGGCATTGGCATTGTAATTGTAGTTGGGATTTTAATCGGGCACCGCCCAATTCCACGTGACATCTGGAACGGGCAGCATAGGTCGTGTACTACACAACACGCATTTAACTAGACGTAGTTGCTGAGGAAGCTTGGTATGGGTCATGACTGTTCATTACTATGTATCTGCGCCTGTATTGTAACGTTCAAGTTGGTTCTGGATAAACCCTAAACCCCAGAACCCTAGAACCGTAAACCTTGAACTCGGTGTATAATAAAACTTGCCCCCATCGTACTCAGGTGGTGACGCTACTACACACCGCTGTGACGACGTACATGCAACGCAAAGTCCTGCCCATGCCCATCAAACGCATCCTGATTCTGGTCCCCAAAAACGTGTTCCAAAACTGGTTCGAGGAGTTTGAGAAATGGCTCCCGCCGGACTCAGTACTCAGAGACTATCTGTACATGGACCAACCCGCAGACAGACACGCCAACATCCAGAAGTGGTATGACTTTGGCGGTGTGTACCTGATGTCACACCAGGGCTACACCAACATGCTCAAGCCCTCAGTGGGCTATAAGGAAATCAACGACATCCCCAAGGAAAGCGATACGGTGAGTGGGCGCGTATGTGGATGTTTTGGTGTGTAGATGTGCGTGTGTATGTGATATATATATATATATTATTTA